TTTTGACTTTGCCACAATAACCAAGTGCGATCAGTCAGCTTGTATCTTGACTATCTTTTTAAAAATTTCATTTTCTAGTAATTAATTTTTATTATATTTTACAAAAGTATCAGTCCGTAACGAATTAGATTTTTTTTTTTTAAAGTGAAGAGTTGTGTTTCACTACAGATAGTTCTGTAGGTATTGCTTTAGGGAGACCAGACAGAGAAGTCTCCTCAGGCTGCCTCTCTGCCAAATGTCAGATGAGAAAGGGTCTCCTTGGACCACTCCCACCTATTCCAAGAGCATATGCTCCTCTGAACAAGTTTCCTTAGAAATATTTCTCTGACTTCAGCCTCAGGGAAAGCTGAGTCCCATGGAAGATTGGAAGAGGGAAGCAGGAGCTCTGTCCCTGCAATTCTACACACAACTCTTCCATCAATCACTCAGTTTCTGCTTTTCTTTCCGTGCCTGCCTTATGTTGCAGCCTGACAGATCTGGGGGCTTCGGCAGTGGAAGTATGATCCCCACCTTTGCTGCTGCCTTACCCCTGCAAGCTGGGACTCTGGTCCTCCCCTTCTGTTTCCCAGAATTGCATCACACTTCTGGTCTGGGCTCTTTCTCACTTAGCACCTTTATTAACAGATCCCCCAGTGTTCTTGACTGTCATTTCAGTGGGTTTTTAAAAGAGAAGGTATATTTTATGTTTAGTCTTAAACCTTATTAAAGAACTTTGGAATCACCTTCTCTCTAGGGTCACAGAGGAATCAATTTATGAAAAGGGCATGTCTTCACATAACAAAGCTCAATGGGGTGATGGCAAAGTTCTGTATCATACAATACTGCCCAACAAAAATATAACATGTAATTTTAAATCTCTTAGTGGCAACACTAAAAAAGAAACAGATGACATTCTCCTTAATAGGATATTTTATTTAACCCAGCTTATCCAAAATCTTATTTCAACAAGCAATAAGTATATGTTTTGCATTCTTTTTTGTATACAAAGCCTTCAAAATACACTGTTTTTTATACTTCTAGCACAATTCAGACAGTGAATTTTCCTTGGAAATATTTGACCTGTATTTAGAGTTCAGAAAATTTACAATTGAAAAAGTAGATCAACATACTCAAATTGCTCCAGACATACTTAAAACTTTTCCCAAAACAGAATCAAGTATTAATTTTTAGACTTAGATTAAATTTCATTAAAATGAAATAGAATTAAAAATTCAGTTCCCATTCACATCAGCCGCTTTTCTAGTGCTCAGTGTGGCCAGTGGCTGCCAGAATGGACCACATGGTTCTGCATCTTTATGGCAATTTGGGTTACACAGCCTATGCATTTGTCAAAACTCATTTCACTAGCCACAAGATGGTAGCAGTAAAGCATGACCCTGCAAGACTCACCCACATGGGAAGGTTCTAAGTTCAAATCCAGAAACCTCTCTGAGTACACTGAGTGAGCACACCCATAATCTGGGACTGTCTGAGATTGGTGTTGGTTTGCAGTATCAAGACCCTGTTGGGGGTGCGATTTCTCTCTCTCTCTCTCTCTCTCTCTCTCTCTCTCTCTCTCTCTCTTGCCTATAGAATAAATAAAATAAACTTTAAAAAAACACTTCATTGTGGCCAGTAGGTGGCATAGTGATTGGGGTGCTGGATTCCCGTATAGTTGACTGCAGTTTAAGTCCCAGACCAGGCAGCTTGAAATTCACACTGAACATGTGTGTGTGTGTGTGTGTGTGTGTGTGTGTGTGTGCGTGTGTGCACAAGATCCTGAGAGGAGAATGGAGGGGAAGGAATTGCAGCATGGCCGTCCTCCCCTGCAGGGGGTGGGGTGGTGATTTCTCACTTTCTGTCTCTCTGTCTCTTTTTATCTCCACGGTAAGTGTACATGCCCTATGGCAAACATCTTTAAAAAAAAACTTCATCATATAGTTCAAATCTGCATGTAAATCTTACCTATAAACCTCTCTATTATATACATGATAGGCAAAATGTTTAAAGGTGATGTATAATGATGTCTGCAACTTTGCTTTGAAATGCATCAACATTTTAAAAAAGAAAAATGGAGGAACAGACAGATGTGTGATAAAGCAAATGCAAATACATGTATCGAAATGTTAACCATAGAATCAGAGGGTCACATATTTGAGTATTCATTGTACAGTTTTCCTAACTTTTCTGAATGTTTAAAATGTTTAATAAGATGTTGGGGGCAGGGAAGAGCCATGTCTTAATGAACTATACCTGCATGGCAGACCCACCATCCCATTGATAAGTCCCAAAAACATAATGTCGAGTGCATGAGGCCAGACTCAAAAGAGAAGTTGTGTGTGCTTCCATTTATATAAGGTTCAGGAACAGGCAAAACTAAACTATGCTCTCAGAGCTCAGAATGTGGTAGTACTCGGGACCAGCAGTTAACGTAATGGCTATGTTGCTGGACTCCCATGTAGTTGACCGCGGTCTGAGTCCCGGCGGCTTAAACTCACGCCGGGCGTGTGTGCGTGCGTGCCCAAGATCCCGAGAGGAGAATGGAGGAGAAGGGATTGCGACGTGGCCATCCCCTTGGGGGATGAGCTCTCGCTTTTTGTCTCTCTGTCTCTCTGTCTCTCTCTGTTTTTCTGGCGAACACACGTGCCCTATAGCAAAAATCTCTCAAAAAAATAAAAAAAAAGAATGTGGTAGCATTTGACGGGAGTGACTGGAAGGTGGTCACAGGGAGCAGATAAACTTCTATGTTTTCATGGTTGTGGTTGTGGGTTACATGGTTGTGTTCATCTTGTGAAAATCCATAAAACCGTATGCAGAACGAGTGCACTTTACTATATATATCTCAATAAACAGTTTTGATTGTTTTAAGGCATGACTTGCATGAAGGAAATCAGAGCTCTCCTTTAAAACGGCACTTCCTGGTTTAAAGGTTTTCACTGAGTGCAGGTGGTATACTTCTCTCATCCCTGGCAGGCAGTGAGATGTGTTGTTGGGGACTGAAGCCTTGGATGCTGTGTGTCTTGGTATTTATTTTAGGAAATTTCTCTTTCATGGTTCTTTTTCTTTCCCTTTATGGAGAGGTTTTTGCTATAGGGCACCTGCCCTTGCCCTATAGAAAGACAGAGAGAAACAGAGAGACAGACAGGAGAGAGAGACAGAGAGACAGAAAGCAAGAAATTACCCCCTGGGGGTAACGGGGGATGGCCATGCTGCAAGTCTGGGACTCGAACAGCAGTTAACTACGTGGGAGTCCAGCAAGATAACCATTATGCTATCTGTTGGTTCCTCTTTCTGTGATTCTTTATTAGGTTTTTGAACATGTTTTACAGAAAGCAAACTTGTGCCTTCCTTAGTCCCTGCCCCCTGTACAGTCACACTCCTTAAAATTACCAAGATTTCCAAATCTTCTGTGCTTGGACCAATCTCATTTTTTATTTATCTTCTTGCTTTGTTGTTCAATTTCTTGAATGCCTTTCCCTCTCGGAGCTCAAAGAACTTATATCAGAATCAAAAGAGAGGGAGAGACGAGATGAAAAATGGTAAGCTGAGGCAGAATAGAATGAGACATGTGGAGCTAGAGATAGGGCAATGAGGAGCTGCAGCAACTCACAGCCAGGAGACTAGAACCTAAAATCAGGCCGTGGCTGATTCATCCAGATTTTTTTTCTTTTTTGAGAGGTTTTTGCTATAGGGCGCGTGCGCTCGCCAGGCAGACAGAGAGAGACATAGAGACAGAAAGCAAGAAATCATCCCCTAGAGGGGATGGTCACGCCGCAATCCCTTCTCCTCCATTCTCCTCTTGGGATCTTGGGCCCTCACGCACACGAGCCCAGCGTGAGTTTTAAGCCACCGGGTCCAGGACACGAACCGCGGTCAACTACGTGGGAGTCCAACGACAAAGCCATTACGCTAACTGCTGGTTCCCTTCATCCAGATTTTTGAGCCCACAGTTTCAGGAAAACCCTTGGGACTCTTGCCCTTACAGTACTTGCTGTGAAAGAGCCTACTGCCATAGCTTTTTGTGGGTAAAACTTTAAAACAATGACATTCAGAAATCACAATTTCTCTTCTAAGTGTTGTCCGTCAGAACTTCAGGAGCGCAAGCTGAAGTGGGGCTTATGGGGGACCAGACCCAGTGGAATAGGCTCAGTCACTGTGAAGTGTCCAGAGGGAAGTGAAAGCTTTTGGAGGGGTGCTGACCACTGGGCAAGCCCCAGGAAGCTTCCAGAACAAGGGCAGAGGATGGAAAAGGTGTGTAAAGCCTGAGGCTGTAGGATTCCTTGCTTCCCACTTTTCTGTATGACCGCGCACACCCAATCCTCATGGCAGACAGTCTGGAATTTCTTTTTTTAAGAGGTTTTTGCTATAGGGCGTGTGCGCTCGCCAGAAAGGCAGAGAGAGACAGAGAGACAGAAAGCGAGAAATCGCCCCCCAGGGGGAATGGCCATGTCACAATCCCTTCTCCTCCATTCCCCTCTCCGGATCTTGGGCATGCACACACACGTGCCTGACATGAATTTAAGCCACCAGGTCCGGGACTCGAATCGTTGTTGACTACATAGGAGTCCAGCAACATAGCCATTACGCTAACTGCTGGTCCCTGAAATTTCTTCAGAATGTGGCTGGTCTCTCTAGGATAATGGTCTAAAGTCCAGAGGTCAGCACCCTGGAGAGCCTGCAAAGAGGCATCCCCCATTCCAAACAACTTTGCCTGGACTCAGGGGAGTTCTCTGAGCAGGGTGGGTAGAGCTGGGTAGGGGCTGACAACCTAGGTTGGGTCCAGCCTCATGGCACCTGGGGCAGATGACGAGCCCCCTGAGGTCTGTCCTGGTTTCCCCACCCCTGGTCCACAGAGCTGTCCTCCCCTCAGCACTTCCAGGGCAGGGCCATCCCTCACCACCCTCCACCCAAAGCTTGGACCAGAACTCAGCCCCTCCCCCTCTTCCTTATCTCTTTTTCTAACCTTTTGCATTTTTTTAGTCTCATTTCCTGTCGGGTTTTGCATTTCCCTCCTCCGCCCCTCCCAGCCTATGACACACTTTCTCTCCTTTTTTTCTCTCTTTTGCTTGCTCTGGCCTCTGAACTCTGGCCCGGGCCCTGCGCAGCCCCCTCCTGGCCCTGCAGCCCCTGGGCGGGCAGTGCCCCTAGCAGGGGTCGGGGCTGCGGGGACCGAGGGCTGGGCCGCCAGGAGGAAGCCGGCAGCCTGCGTGGAGGAGGTGCCCAGCGCTGCTGTTGGAGCATGAGCGCCCCAGGTAGGGTGCGGCAGGGAGAGGGGGGGTGGTGCTGGTGGAGGAAGCTGGAGGGGGACTTGTTCAGGGGGAAACATGGGGGAGGAGACGCGTTGGGGGACTTGAGGGGACACCGTGGCGGAGACGCGATGGGGCCGTGGGGGATGGGAGTAGTCTATTCGCCCCTGTGATCCTGGGGCCTCATCTTTCTCCCACAGCTCTCTCACCCCTCTGCTCTTTCCCCTTTGGAACCTTTTTTACTTTCTACCTCCCTGTGTCTCTCCTCCGTGTCTCTGGCCATCTCTGAAAGTCTCCACGTGGCAAGTCCACACATTCCATGGAAAGGAAGAGGAGAAATGGGTGGTCAGGAGGCAGCAGCGGCCAGGCAGGGCCGCCCTCACGCACCTGCCTCCGAGGGAGGAAGAGAACCTTTTCTGGTACCTGAAAGGCCCGGAAGTTTGCAGACCACAGCCCAGCCTGACTCAGAGGCTCCCAGAAGTGGGGCCCCGCTCTGGCAGGGGGGACAAGCCCACCAAAATGGGATGAGGAGGGGGAAAAGACAGCCCCCTGGGGAGAGTAAAGGAGCCTTGTCAGGATCATAGCATGTGCCCTGTTCCCAGACAAGCCAGGAGCAGGCCCCAGTGGCTCCCCAAGCAGACTCCCAGCCTGGCCTGGGCCGCCCGGCACTTTGCCATGCCCTCTGCTGAAAGAGGCCGCAAGTCTTTCCTGTTCCTTGTGGGTCCTGAGCACAGGTGGAGGAGTCTGTTGCATCACACAAATCTGTGCAGCCAGCAGCAGCCTGCAGCTGAGTCAGTCCCAGCGTTCACAGGACTGTGCCTATGCTGTGAGCCTTTGTTCCCCGGCTGGCTGGTCTCAGCAGAGAGCCACCACACACTTGGTCTGGGACCAAATTGACCCCGGGTGCAGGTCTGCTCTCGAACCCTTTGATGGTGTAGCTCAAAAAATAAGTATCCTGGGAACCAGCAGTTAGCGTAATGGCTATGTCGCTGGACTCCCATGTAGTCGACCGTGGTTCGCGTCTCAGACCCGGTGAATTAAATCTCACGCCGGGCGCGTGTGCGTGTGTGCCCAAGATCCCGAGAGGAGAATGGAGAAGAGATTGCGGCGTGACCATCGCCCCTGGGGGGTGATTTCTCGCTTTCTGTCTCTATGTCTCTGTCTGCCTGGCGAGCGCACGTGCCCTATAGCGAAAACCTCTCCAAAAAAAAAAAAAAAAGTATCCTATACTTCTTTCAGAAGGGCTAATGTTAACGACCTGTGACCTACCAGACTAGGAACAATGCTGGTCAATCATCCCATTTGTCGAGAGCCTAAAATGTGCACCAGAAACCCCAGGCGCTGGGAATTAATGCAAGGAAAGGAATTTAGCTCAAATTCTCCACTCCTGTGCTTACCCTGAAACTCTAGTCCTCTCCACCCACAAGGCATCTGCTGTGGACAAAACGAGTCCACGATGAAACCTTGTCACATCCCAGTGAAATGGTTTGGACCTGTGTCAATTTTACTAGCACAGGTCCCAGAAAGGCAGGATGCTGGCCTCGAGGTCCCAGCAGTCTTAACATTTGCATGTGAGTGGTCTTCTTAAAGTTATGGTAATTCATATATAACGTAAAATTAACCATTTTAACCGCTTTAAAGTAAACAGTTCAATGGCATTAAGCACCTCCACCATGTAGTCCAGAGCTCACCATCGATCTGCAGGGTTATTCCATCTTCCCAAACTGCAACTGTACTCATTAGCACTAATCCCCATTCTTCCCTCTGGTAGTCCCTGGCACCCCCCATCCTACTTTCTGTTTCTGTGAGTGTGACTACTCTAAGTACCTCAGATGAGTGGAATCCTACAGTATTTGTCCTCTTGTGTCTGGCTTACTTCACTGAATATAATATTCCCATAGTTCATCCCTATTGTAGCAGGCGTAAGAATATCTGCCTTTTTTAAGGCTGAATAATATTCCATTATCTGGATATACCACATGTTGTTCATCCATTCTTTCTTTAAAATGTCATTTTAGAAAATGACTTCTAAACCTAACTCTTCTAAAGAGGGTATTGTTTGTTGGACTCAATCAGTGGCCACTGTGCAGGTGGCTTTGTACTTGGTGCCCTGATGCCACAAAAGGAATGCGAGACATAGTCCTTTGCCTACGTAGGTCTTGTCGGACAATCTGTGTGTGCCATGATCAGAGTGTGGCTGAGACGTAAGCTAGATGGAAGGGGGCAATGTGGGAGATAGATGGTGAGCCTCAGAGGGCACAGGGATTAATAGAAGATTCCAGACTGAGATTGCATTGGAAAGGTAACGTCTGGACTTCTTTCTTCACTTTCCTATGTAGTGTTTCTCACCCTTCTGATAAAAGACTTGCTTCCTGGGGTTGACGGGATGCGTGTCTGTGGTTTGGTAGTGGCAGGGAGATGCGGAGTGGGGGTGATAGAGATGAAGAGGCTCCTGTGATTATAGCTCCTCATGGCATGTCATGCATGAAAGGCCAAATTGAGTCCCAATTTTCAGATGATTATGATGAAAAGGAATGTCAAATGCTGAAAAATTGGGCCTCCTCAAATCCGTTTTGAAAACTGCCTTTAATTCTCTTGCTTTGCCTCTGCACTCCCTGCTTGGAAGAGAGTGTCTGGTCATCAAGACAAGGGATTAAGTCTCATGCGGGCCAGAATTCTCAGATGACCACTCTGACTCCCCGCACAGCTCATGCTGGGTTGTTTCTTGCAGAGCCAAATCTGTGAATCTTGTGTTTTTTAAAAAAATAAGATCAAGAGAAGAAGGCAATAGGGGGTCAGCATGCCATCTTTTATGTCTAAGGCCATGAAAATATGGGTTCCAGGCGTGACCACTCATCCGCACGAGCTGTGTGACCTTGGACAGGCTTGGTCACTTAAGCTTGCTGAGAGTCATTTCTCTAATGAAATCAGGATATTAATACAGATCATTTTCAGTATTGTCAGTTACATCAAGCATAAAATGAGAAAATACGACATAATATTATTACCTGTGCTGCTATTATCGAGATTTGGACCCTCGCCAGAAACTGGCCTTGGGAGTCCAGACCTAGGGCGGGCTCCGCTTCCTCACACTGACCAGCTGGGTGGCCTTTGTTATTTATTCTGGTTCAGCTTCGGTTTCCTTGTCTACAATCCTGATTTTGCAGGGGGATTGTGAGGATCTGAGGAAATCACAGAGCAGAAGCTCAGTAAATCTACCTCGTAGTTTACATTATCCAGTTGGTCTGGAAAATATTTGGATTGGTTGAAATACTGACACAGAAAGAAAAGAAAAAGACAACTTTAAAAAACTGTCTTTTGCCAGTGAGCATATGCACTCACCAGAGATCGAGGGAGGCAGAGAAAGCACCCCCACCCTCAACTGGGCCATGGTCACACTACAGTCCCTTCTTTTCCATTTTTTTATCCTGTTGGGATTTTGACCAGACACAAATATGTGCCCTGTATGTTTCATAAACTGCTGGGTCTAGGATTTAAACAGTCCAGTTGTCCATGTGGGATCCAGCTGCCTTAACCACTAAGCCATGGGCTGGCACAGAAAAGACAACTTTTTTTTTTTTTTTTTTTGAGAGGTTTTCGCTATAGGGCGCGTGTGCTCGCCAGACAGACAGAGAGAGACATAGAGACAGAAAGCGAGAAATCACCCCCCGGGGGGATGGTCACGCAGCAATCCCTTCTCCTCCATTCTCCTCTTGGAATCTTGGGCACACACGCACACGCACCCGGTGTGAGTTTTAAGCCACCGGGTCCAGAACACAAACCGCAGTCGACTAAGTGGGAGTCCAGCGACATAGCCACTACGCTAACTCTGGTTCCCAAGACAACTTTTAAGGAAGCTCCTTAAGAATGTTTTTCTGGGGACCAGCAAGTGGTGTGATGATTAAGGTGCTGGACTCCCACACAGCCAATCACAGTTGGAATCATGAACCTGGCGGCTTGAAAATCATGCTGGGTACGCATGTGTGTGCATGCTCAACATCCCAGGTGTGTGGACATACTCCCTGGTGTGTTGTGTGTGTAGGGGAGGATTTCTCATTTTCCCTCTCATGGTCTCTCTCTCTCTGGTGAGTACACACACACACACACACACACACACACACACGCGCACCTTTTTTTTTGAATAGAAAAATGAAGATTCCCAGATGCCAGCCTCTTCATCTGTATGGGGCTACACAGGAAGAACATGGATAGAGCATGTTACATACAAGGAACATGTCCCAGGCCTCATCCTCACACTTTCCTTGAGGATTTCTAGCCCTCTGGGTCAGTTGTTTTAGTGGAGTAACTATTTTCAGGAGAGTAACCTTTTAGTGTTGTGATTTGTCAAGGGCTCAGAGAGAGATTCTAATGGTCACTATCAAATTTGAGTAATGGGTGTCCATGGCCCAGTGCCAGAGGATGATAAAAGTTCTCCTCCTGGTCCTGCCTGCTGAGTTCTCACTCCCTCTTCCTCTCATTAGCTCCCCCAAGTGCATCTGCTCTCTATCCAAGGGCTCAGCCTGGGCTATTCCACACATTTGTGCAAGCCAGAGAGGGGGAGGTGCAAAATCCATAGACGACAGCGTCCTACCCCTTGTGGTTTCTGTTTCACGTTCCTCTCCACTTTGGGAGCATGCAGTCTTTATACCTAAGTACAACTTCAGAGTAGGGGTTCCTTCATGCCCTGTGCTATGTATCTCATAGACCTTGGCAGTGTCAGAGGCAATACCTGCCGGGAACCTGCTTTTTACAGTCTCTGCCTTCGCTCTGGTACTGGCCTAACCCATCAAGAGGCAAAATGCTCTACTGGAAGATCAAGGAGCTTGGAGATAGGCAGAGGGGGTGTCTATCCTACTAGCCCTGTGACCTCAGCGACGTCAGCCAAGAATAGGTTTAGCCTCAGTCACACATTTGTAAAATGGGTATAAAAATACCACTCCTAAATTAACATTGACCAAAGTGTTTCAAATGCTGTGTTAAAGTGCTCAGAGGACTTCTGCTTTTAA